AAGCTCAATTCTCTCAAGTCTGCTAGTGATGATATCCATGGCTGCACAAAACTCAAACTCAACGCTCTTTCATGCCGCCTCAATAATCTTTTTTTGTGTGGTTGGATTCTGTTTCTTAATTCTGAAATAAAAAATCAAATGGCACACACTCACCCCCAAGGGGCTACTTGTAATTATGACACACACCAGAGACAAAGCAAAAGATAAATACAAGAGATGAGAGTAGGCATGCAGAAGCACAAGTGTCCAATGCTCCGTGTCACTGCCAGTTATTTTGGTGCAGTTTATTTTTATTTTTTTGGGGTTACAATTGTGCAGGTTCTTTAATTCAGTTAATTGTATGCTTTAACAGCCCAATTCCAGTAATTCCACAACCATCATCTCTCTCTCTCTCTCTCTCTCAAATATGGTAACACTCTCTCCCTTTCTTCGTGCTTGCATTATCTTTCAGTTTTGGCCTCTCTTCGTAATTATTTTGTGAATTAACAGCACCCCCATAAGGCACACAGAATTAACAACACCCCCATAAGACACACAGAATAATATATATTAAAAAATTCTCATATATCATTGAATAAAAATAATATATATTAAAAAAATTAAATTAAAATATTATATAGTGGTCGATTAATATCTGCTTTGGATATATTGAAACTAGCAAATTAATATATATATGAAGTATAAACGAATGCAACTAGGAGGGTCCTTTTTTCTTAATTTTTTTTAATTAAATAATATAGCTGCTCAGGTTAATGCAAACATTAAGAATTGAAATTATTAATTAAATGAGGATAATATGGTAAATTCACACTTTTTCATATTAAAAAAAATTAAAATTAAAAGAAAATTCATATAATGGATCCTATTTTTATGGAACACAACTATCCATTATTATTTTTAATTCTAAAAATAAAATAAAATAAAAGAAAACCAATTGGCACATGCGTGCTAGGAGGCTAGTATCTATAAAGTATAAACTAATGCAACTAGGAGGGTCCTTTTTTCTTCATTTGTTTTAATTAAATCATATAGCCGCGGCTATATGTATTTTGACACGTGGGTTTCTATGCGATATGCAGCTACTCTTTAGTCTTTTTTTTTTTTTTTTTTTTTTTCATAAATAGTATAGCCGCTTGGCGATACACCATTTTTCCTATTTTTTCAAAAAAATAGTATAGCCGCACGGCGTGACTGCGTTTTCTTTTGTTTGTTTTTTTTTAATGAATAGTATAGCGCCTTATGCAACGTTATTGGGGTGAACCAGTTTCCTTCCAGTAATCTGCTTTGTTAATGAATTAATGCTGTGATGTTAAGCAGAATTACATATTTACTTGTGCTTTAGGTCCTCTCAATGGGATTCCTTATGGATTGAAGGATATAATGTCAGTTCCCACGACAAAACAACATGGGGGTCTAAAAGTTTCAAAGACCAAGTTCTTGACAGTGAAGCCTGGGTGTTCAAGAGGTGCTAAACCTTTTGAAAATGAATTCCAGCTTCGTGTTTTCGTTAAACGGCATTTGGCTTGTATATTTCTGACTTTTGTTGTGTACAGGTTAAAGTCTGCAGGAGCAGTTCTTGTTGCAAAGCTTGTAACTGGATCACTAGCATATGATGACATCTGGTTTGGCGGTAGGACAAGGAACCCGTGGAATATTGAGGAATTCACCACGGGTTCGTCATCAGGACCTGCTGCCTGCACCTCAGCAGGTATACTTTTTGTAGTTGTGAGCAGCTTAGCATTTCCATTCCCTTCATCGTAATCTGTTGTCCTGCAATTTTGTTTTGAGTAATCTCTGCTTAGCTTAGAAATCTTCAAGTGCTCCTCTTGATTATATGTGGCTTATAAATGTACCTTTATAAGAACTTAACTTCATCGAATTTCCTTTTTACAAACATAAACTGAAAAAGCTGTACTTTTGAGGAAAGCATTTTGGAATATATTTGTTGCTTTAAACAATAACTTTTTACAGGTATGGCCATTTGCAATTGGATCAGAAACCGTTGGTTCCATGACTTTACCTGCTGCTCGTTGTGGCGTGGCAGCCAAGTTGCGTCCAACCTTTGGCGCTGTTGGTCGAACTGGTTTCATGAGCCTATCAGAAAGCTTGGTATGCATTTGACACAGTTTTTCTTGCATTAATAATAAATTCTGAATCTCATCTTTCTTGGTCACATCTGTTTAACAGGGTAAGCTTGGTCCTCTCTGTAGAAGTGCTGCAGATTGTGCTGTTATTTTGGATGCTATTAGAGGAAAGGACCCGGATGACCTCTCATCAAGAGACATCCCCCTTGAGGATCCTTTCTTGGTTGACATAACAAACCTTACTGTTGGATATGTTGACGACGCTGAGACGGAGGTTTGTGGTCCAAAATAAATGACCATCCCAGATACCAAGTTACTGGTTAGGTTAGCAGGGTCCAGACTCTACCTATTCCTCCAGTACGTTTGCTCAAATTTTCAACTCTTACTTATACAATTAAATGTTGATGGTTGGACCCCAAGTGATCCTTAGGTCATTGATCATCAAAGATTTGATGTGACTAATCCATTAGTTTATTGTCTTGTTTTATAGATCTGAGATGATTAATCACTGCATTGCCAATGAAGACATCAACGGAAAAGCTAATTCGAAAAGTACGGGACAATTTTATCGTTGATGCCTTCATTGGCAATGCAGCTGATTGGGAGAGAGTTTGTATGGGAAACCTTGTAGGGATGCCAGTAATTGTTGTTCCAGCAGGATTTTCCCAAATATCTAATCCACCTTGACCACCACCGGCATTTATGCTCCTCCTCATCGTGATCACATTGTGAGTGTTTTGTTTCCTTCAGGTTCCGATACATCATTTTTTTAATGTGCAGTGGCAATGGCATACCAGTATATGACTGATCAGTGATCACCATCAGCAACGGCCTCCTGTTGATGATCTTGGACCAAAGGACTCAATTCCAAATCCACCCACATTTTCCTGCCCTCCCAGGCTGCTGCATTTTAAAGCCCAAGTTTAATTTCATGCCTGCTTTGCAGCTCATATGATGTGTAAAAAAAAAAAAAAAGGCCCATAAGTATGGGTTAATGTGTATTTCTATATATGATGAAACAATATCTTGGTGCTCCATCCATATAAACCAAAATCAAGCTAAATATTTATTTTATATCTTTGTTTACGTAGTCTAAAATAAGAAAAGGGAAAGGGACACAGACTTTGTCTTTTGTACTCTTTTTTTCTAATAATCTAACAAAATTCTATCGCCTTTTTATAAAATAAAATAAAAGGAGACGGGAAAGGAGTTTGTAAAAAAAGCTGAAAATTGTCTCTTTATATATGGAAATGTTTACTAATCTAGGCCCATGATCAAAGTCTTATGAAAATAAAACCGTCCTTTATTTATTAGATTGTACCTCTAAATCTAATCAAACACGTGAAAAAGAAAAAGAAAAAAAAATCCCAAAACTGTTAGCAGAAAATAGAATTGCACTTTTTTTTACCATTTCTGTGCGCCGTTTATGTTTAAAGCCAGATTGCATGCGTAGGTAAGCTATCTTTCACTCAAAGCAAAGCAAAGAAGTTACAGAAAGAAACTCAGTTGGTGGAAGTGGCAGGAAAGTACCACTGCCTCTGTCACGGCACACTGCGATTGTCTTTTCCTTTTCCCAGGCAGATAATTTTTTTAAAAAAATTATTCTTCCATATTTATCCCTCTAGATTTTTACCCAAGAGTGGTAAAAAAGTTAGGCCTGTGGTGACGCCTGCACTGTCAAGCCTATGATTACTCAGAATTCTTTAAAAGAAAAATAAAACCAAATCTAGTGAAAGAGATTTGCAGCTTCCACTTTCTTCATTAAACCCGTTGCAATTTCCAGAATTTAATGCATTATGAGATTCTATTAGGGATGGAATATTTATGGTGATGACAAGTTTATCGTTATTTTTCATAATAATACAAAATTATAACGGTCACATAAAAAGGGTTTTACCATTTTAATTTTTATGCATGAAAAAACTTTAGTCTTCGTAATTTTTTTATTTATTACTAATATAGCATTTTTCCAGTGTAATAGAAGAGGCAAATGTTTAGAGTACTTTCTAAATTCTCTCACATTATGAGAAATCTAAAATATTGTGGGGGTGCACATAGGACCCATCACTAGAAGATCTAGGAAATGTACTCAAGAGAAAAATTCCACATAGGACCCATCCCTAAAAAAGTCAAAGGAAAAATATTGTGCGATAAAAAGTTTGTATTTTCAATTTATCCGTATAAAGTTTGCATTTTAAGTTTCATCAAAGTGCAATTATGTGCTATACAATGTGCAAGTGGATTGTTTTATCGGTTGTTTGATTTTGATCTTTTAATCTTTTCGGCCAACAAACGTGAATCCCAGTTGTGCATAGATCTATCATAGAAAAACTTTATATTTGATTAATTACATTAAATTTCACGTTTTATTTTAGTATTTTCAATTTATCCGTATAAAGTTTGCATTTTAAGTTTCATCTAAGTGCAATTATGTGCTATACAATGTGCAAGTGCATTGTTTTATCGGTTGTTTGATTTTGATCTTTTAATCTTTTCGGCCAACAAACGTGGATCCTAATTATGCATAGATCTATCATAGAAAAATTTTATATTTGATTAATTACATTAAATTTCACGTTTTATTTTAGTAATAATATTATCCTTGTTTGTCTAAAAAGAGAAAATCGTTGTGATTACTTATTAGAGATTATTTTCTTGTTTGTTGAGGACATGAGAGTTGGTGACGTCTTAATTGAGTAATTAGTTAAATAACTCCATGGAGGAGAGGAAATCAAGGTTCCAAAAATATGACATAATAAAGTGGGCCGGTTAATTTGTCCCAATCTCTGTCAGAATATTTTTGGGATTAGAATTTAGATAAGAGCTGAGGTGGGGGATTGGACAGGATCGTAATTTCACAATTATCACCCACTAAAAATAACCAATATCTAATTAATATTTAATAATAATCCCAATAAATCCAGAAAAGGAAATCTTATTCAAACTGGGATTTAAAGACCGTAATGGTACGTTGGGTAATTTCGAGCCAAAACGCGGGGTATATAATAAACGTATTGCTGGATGCAGAGCTCATGTCGTCTATATATGCAGCTTATGAATCACATTGCGAAATCTCTCTCTCTTCGTTCTCTTTCGCTCTGATCCGCCGCTCGACGACGCCGTTGGACGAACCGAGAATCTGGAAAACCACCTCAATCCGGATAGATCCGAAGGGCCTGATCCGATCCAGCTTGGTATTCTTCTTCACATTCATAGATCTCTCTCTCTGAGAATTTTCTCTTGGATCATTAATCGGATTGCTGTTGTTTACATTAAGCGTAATTACAAAGATTTTGACTGAATACTCGTTGGTTGATCCAATAATCAAACTGGTTTTTCAATTCTGTTTTTTTGGCCATGTGATATTGAAAATGTCGTTGTCGTATTGATGCATGATGTTGTTGGTTTGCACTTTGGATCTGAATGAAGTTGTTGTGATATGGGTGTGATTGTTGGTAATTGTAAAGATTGTGGCTATGCATGTTGGGTTGAAGATGTAAATAGTGCTGATGATAATGATGTGATGTTTGAAACTTAATTGGGTTGGTGTTGTTGGATTCGGTGGTGTAGATCTCTATCAATACAAGAAGGCTGTTGAGATGGCATCATCAACAGCTGCGGCCACAGGATGGTACAGAGGGAGAGTGAAGGCTGTTCCTTCAGGGGACTCCTTGGTCATCATGGCCCTCATAGCCAACAAGGCAGGACCCCCACCCGAAAGAACCATCACTTTGTCATCGCTTATGGCTCCGAAACTGGTAAAACAAATAACATCCCTTTGTGTTCCATCCACCCATGTATTTTTAGTTTCCTGTTTTCGTAGCATTGTTGTAGGTCTTTTTCATCATTCAAGGTGTGCTGTTATGTGTTATGATTTTGGTTGAGCTCAATTTTCTGCATTAGTCATGGATTTGCCCGGTTGTTGACATTCTTTTTGTGGTTTGTTGTTATTGTTCTGTTTTGTATTGCTAGGCTCGTAGAACTACCAAGGATGAGCCATTTGCATGGGACAGCAGAGAGTTTCTGAGGAAGCTCTGCCTTGGAAAGGTGCTTATTTTAAATACTTGTTTTTTGCTTTGTTATCATAATAGTTTTCATTTTAAAAACAATTAACATTATGCATCCACCTCATTATATTTTCCCAACAGGAGGTGGCTTTCAGAGTGGACTACGTTGTACAACAGATAGGGCGAGAATTTGGCTCTGTTTTTCTTGGTGACAAGAATGTTGCAATGCTGATTGTTGCTGAAGGCTGGGCAAAGGTTTTTATCTTTTTTGTTTCTACATCTATTGGTTTCTAATTTTGTATTTTATGTTTAATCTGAATGGGTGTAAGCTGAATCTTATTTTTTTTATTTTTGTGTGCAGGTCAAGGAGGTTAAACAGAACCAACAGAAAGGAGAAGCTAGTCCTTATATTGCTGAGCTGCTACGTCTCCAAGAACAAGCTAACACCCAGGGCCTTGGTCTCTGGAGCAAGGTATGCATTTACCCTCCTTATTTCTTATATTGTACATATAACTTGTTACAGCATGTTGGAAGTTAACTTCAAATTTGTTACATAAGCATTATCATTTGTTCTTAATTGCAGGTTCCTGGTGCTGCTGACACATCCATTAGGACTCTACCTCCCTCTGCCATTGGTGATCCTAGCAATTTAGATGCCATGAGTCTGTTGGCTGCAAATAAGGGCAGGCCCATGGAAGGTATCGTTGAGCAAGTTCGTGATGGAAGCACAGTTCGGGTCTACTTGCTTCCTGATTTTCAGTTTGTTCAAGTATTCGTTGCAGGAACTCAGGTATGCATTCTTTCTGCATCTGGACAAGTGTGCACAAAATTTGGTTTCTATCTACTTCATATTCAAAGTACTAATATGAATATATAACATATTTTTCTCTGTTCCAATTAGGCCCCATCAGTGGGAAGGAGACCTATAGCTTCAGAAGTTGTTGCTGAGCCAGAAACAACTTCCGATAAAACAAATGGTGATGTTTCCACTGAGCCTCGAGCCCCTCTAACTTCTGCCCAAAGAATTGTAGCTTCAACAACATCATCTGTTGAAATTGCTGCTGATCCATTTGCACTGGAAGCTAAACATTTTACAGAAACTCGTGTGCTGCATAGAGATGTAAGGAAATTTCAACTTTAGGTTATCTTAGACAGTGAGTTTATTACAATTTTATGAATATTGTGGTTGATTTATAGGTCCGCATCGTTCTGGAAGGTGTTGACAAATTCAGCAATTTGATTGGGTCAGTATATTACCCGGATGGGGACTCAGCGAAAGACCTGGCCCTGGAGCTTGTTGAAAATGTAAGAGCTTAAACTTTGCAGTGATTTCACATATAACATTGACGATGACTAATGTGTTCATATTACTGAAATTCGGAATACTTATCACATGCTTTTGTTCTTTTCCATGTAGCTTCTTCCATGCTTTAATGTTAGTTTGCAGATCTTTTATATCCTCTCTTAGACTTGTAGTTATCTGTTGTAAGACCTCTAAGGGGAATGCTGTCAATGCTTGTCCAGGGTTATGCAAAATACGTTGAATGGAGTGCTAACATGATGGAAGAAGATGCGAAGCGGCGGCTGAAGGCTGCAGAGCTTGAAGCTAAGAAAAGCAAGTTGAGGATCTGGACAAACTACGTACCCCCAGTTACAAATTCAAAGGCAATTCATGACCAG